ACGGAAAATATACAAGGCTTACTTCAATAGTTACCTTTATCACTCCCAACATCATATTTACAGGACTTGTATTTTGTATATATGTATTTTATTTGACTTAACGTTTTTAGGAAGAATCTTGAATTGCAAGTGATTGCAATGAAGAAAAAATTGCAGGAGCAGGAAAAAATCAGTCTAGGGACATTGAGATGTATGAGGCCAAGATGCACGAAAATTTGGGAAAAATTTTCACGTCGAGCCAAATATGCATGTTATTGGATCCTAATGTGATACGCATAACCTGGTCTGTAGAAGATATAGCGAGCGCTATGTCTTTACGATGCGTCAGTCCCAAAGCTTACAGGTACATGAGAAATGTTGTGAAAATGCCTCTTCCTGGTCTTTCAACACTAAGAAAGTGGGCATCTAATATTAAGGTAGAGCCAGGCATGTTAGGTACAATTCTTAATTGCATGAAATATAAAGGAAAAAACATGCAAACGCATGAAAAACTAGTTATACTCACATTTGATGAAATTCATTTAGATAATAAGATTGCTATTGACCGAAAACTGCAGCAAGTTGTTGGGTCACACAAGTCATGTCAGTGCGTAATGGTCCGTAGTTTATTTTTCAAATGGAAACAACCTGTATATTATAATTATGATACAGCAATGACAAAGGATACGCTTTTGTCTATTATTTCACAATTGTATAATGTAGGTTATACTGTTGTTGGCATAACATGTGACATGGGCCCAACAAACTTAGCGGTATGATCTGAATTGAATATTGGAGTTGCAAAAAACAATTACTTTCAGCATCCTCTCAATGAAAAGTTAAAGATTTTTATATTTGCAGACATGCCACACTTGCTTAAATTAGCAAGAAATTACTTTCTTGACAATGGGTTTGTTGTTCGGGGACATCGTGTAGAAAAGAAATGTATCGAACGAATTTTAAGTATTAATGCAAAAGATGTAAAAGTCTCCCACAACATTTCTCAATACCACCTTGACGTTCAAGGCTGCGAAAGACAAAAAGTAGTTGTTGCCTCACAATTACTATCAGAACGAACAGCTTCCGCCATAGAATGGTATGGACAAAAAGGATACCTCGACAATTTTGACTGGAAAGAAACCAGGCGCGTTATCCGTTTGTTTAACGATTGGTTTGACGTTTTCAATGCTAGTAGTATGTACGGCAAACATGATGGCAAGAATGCTTATGGTATTAATTTAGAAAAACAAGATGGCATTTTACGTGAAATGACCGAATTAATAAACGAGATGGTAATCGGAAAACATAAAAGTTTAATTACCAAAAAGGCATTATTGTCAGTAACTGTTCTTTGCAGCAATTTTTGCCATACATTAAGGAAATGTATTCTAATGAGTACTTTAATGTGCAATATGTCATCACCAGGCGGTTAAATCAAGATGTACTTGAAAACTTTTTTTCATGTATTAGAAGCACTGGTGTTGCGTATGATAAGCCCACTGCTCTCGATTTCAAATATCGCATGAAAAGATATATTTTAGGCAAGCACTCAACCAATCTGTTTTGCAATGAAAGGGCTTGTAACGTTTTGGCAGAACCTGATACACCTTATTTTGTATCCCCTCTTACTGCTGGCGAAGCTACTGACGAATCCGAAGTACTGAGTGGAATGCTCGAATCGTATGCGTTGGAGGACGATGAACTAACTTATTTTGAAGAAGAAGAATTGTGCGCTGAATACAATGTTGAAAATAATAATGTAACTGTATGTGATCTGTCCATGTTTCATCCGACTTTGGAAGAAGAGAAACTGCTCACTTCTATAGATGAAATGGACATAATAGATAATATTAAAGATGAAGGATTGAAGTATATCGCTGGTTATGTTGCCTACCGATTTAAATCGAAATATAATAATTTAGGTGTCGCAACTCTCGAGATGCCAATTGGAAGCGATGTAGATTGGGTTCAGTTTATTTCCCGCGGAAAATGTATGTACCCACCGGAAATCTTGTTAACGGCAACGCGGATAATGAATATTGAATTCGAAAAATATCATGGATCTCAACTTCGCAAAACCAAATTTATTTTTAACGAATTGGCGATAATTGTACAAGAAAAAATACAACCGCTAAAATTACCATGTGAAGTTATTCTGTGCCTTGTTCGTATGCGAACATACATTCGAGTCCGGATAATGAATCGTCAAATATCTGCACAGAACAGAAGTAAAAATAGGAAAAAGAAGATTGTAAAATTTACTAATAATAAAACATGATGTACTAATCTACACATACCTATCATTTTCTCTTCTTTAAATATATTTCTTGAATTTTTTACACCAATATTTTCGAACCTATGATTATTTCTTATTTGTTCACTTCAAATATAATAAAATATATTTTCTTA